CTGGGACAGCAAGGACATGCCGGGATGGCCAGCAGGAGACAGCCACACTCAGCCATAGGAGCCCACGGGTGTCCAGCCTGCAGTGAGATTTCACCCCCGAGCAGCTGCATGCAAACTGGTCCCCAGGTCTGGGGTGTTGCCAGGACACCTGCGGGGTGCAGAGGTGCCCGAGGCTTGCTCGGCACCCCCACCATGCGGGCATGCACGCTCCTGCCAGAGCAAACGGCTCCTCCAGCCTCGCATGCGCTGTCCTACACAATGGGGGCACCCATGAGGCCTCCCCACGGGCCCTCGGCCGGTGGCAGCAGCAGCCCCAAAGCTGCAGGCACCTTGACTGCTCCCATTCCTTCTCCTTTCCAGGGCCTCCCAGCGACGGACACCTTGGGATACTGGGAGATGGCAGGAGGCAGGATCCGGCCAGGGGAATTTTGCACCATCTCTCACATGAAACATCTGTTGGCAGCAAATTGCTGCTTGCAGAGTCCAGGAGCTCTCCTCTGTGCCTTCAGTAGGCTTCAGAGTAAACACACAGACAGCTTCAGCTCTGCAGCCTAAACTACTCCAGACTGGTACCGACGAAATGAGCAAATGCAGCTTGTTGGCAATATCGACAGCAAACAGAGTCTTTACCAAATGCATTATTAAATCAGGACTATTTCTCATCCCCTAAAATAGACCAATGCTAGAAAACTCCGTGGAAAAACAAACCCTAGGACCACCACCGCAGGTCTGCACTGCAGAGGGCTCAAAACCAGAAGTGAGGAAGAGTCAGCGTGTGCTTCAGCACCATAACTTCCCCCCTGCCCCCACGCACGGTTTCCGGCTTCAAACGACCATAAACCTCTCGGCTACATGACACGCTTTGCACGTTGGCTCTGGCTGGAGGAGGAGCGGCGTGGGACTGGGACGGTGCCTCCGGCCATCCCCGGCGCGGACCCCGGGCCCAGCGGCAACCCTGTGCCCGCTGCAGCATGCCGAAACGTTAGCGGGGTTACGTGAGCAGCCGCTGCGCACCTCCCAGGCCGTGCTGCGTCAGTGGGGTTAATGCTCCCAACTCACGGCAGCGCTGCGTTAGGCCGGCTGCTTCCCGTCCCGCTGCCCAGCAGGGTTTATATACAGCTGGCTGGTGCGGAAAGAGAAAGCGAGATGGAGGGAGAGGGTTAGAGGCGATGGAAGTGGTCGCGCGGACGCTCCAGCTGGGTTTGTGACGAGGGGCATGCGAGGGCAGGGGTCCGGGCACACGCGTTGGCAGCCCAGGCTGTCTATATTGCAGTCCCCAAAATACTTCTGTCCCGCTGCCCAGCAGGGTTTATATACAGCTGGCTGGTGCGGAAAGAGAAAGCGAGATGGAGGGAGAGGGTTAGAGGCGATGGAAGTGGTCGCGCGGACGCTCCAGCTGGGTTTGTGACGAGGGGCATGCGAGGGCAGGGGTCCGGGCACACGCGTTGGCAGCCCAGGCTGTCTATATTGCAGTCCCCAAAATACTTCTCTCTCCTTATCGAACGGTACAAGCCGGTGCCGTAAAAGCCACACAGACCCCGGCTGAAGGGCACGTGCAATCCTCCCGGGAGGCTGCGCTTCCAAGCGGCAGAGCTGAGGGATGGGGAACATCTGATGCCCAGCTGGTGAGTTTTTAAGCCAGTGATGTTTTGGGGTCTCCCCTGTGTCCCCAAGCACCTAGAGATCTTCCCTGCCTCTCCCTCACGATGGGAGGGTGGCAGAAAGCACAATCAGGCGGGCAAGGAGGAGGGCAGACAGCAAACGTCACCCAAAGCTCCTCTGCCTTCGAACAGCGCGGTGGGAAATCCCTGCCAGGCCCCTCGCTCGGAGCGTTAAGCTGGACCACAGCAAGCAGGACCTGAGCCAGGAGCGGCACAAATTCCCTGACCCCTTGGAGCGGTGCCCGGCTCACCCCCGAGGGGGGGTGAATGCCTTGCAGGGCTTGATTTAATGCTCTGGAGTGGGACTCAGGTCCTTCCTCCCGCCTCCAAAACCCACAGGGAAAAGCCTCCTGGACAAAGCTGCCCTGGGAGCCAGAGCCACGCGGTGTTGGGCACGGCGCCCGCTGATCCCGCTGGGTGCAGGGCATTGACCCTGACGGTGCCACCCGACGGGCACCCTAGCCTCTGCCACCGACTTGCCGACCCACCAGCACCGCAGCATCTGACGTGCGATGGAGAAAGTGGGAGTTGAACATTTCCTGGGGATGATGGTGAAACCCAAGAGCGAGTCAGACTTCCCAGCACCAAAGAAATCAGCCAACAGCTCGGGGCCCCGATGCCAGCCCTGGGCACCCACAGCTGGTCTCTGTCCTCAGTGGGCAGACCTGCGTGGCGGGGAGCTGCTAGGCAGTGAGGATCCTGTACGGCACGGCTTGCTTGGCCAAGCTGGCCTTTGGCCGGCAGGTCCCCGGGGGACGGGGGTGCCAAAAACCCCTCTGCCAGCACACAGGCAGCCCTGCCATCGGGCCCTGTGGGCACCTGCATAGGTGTGCCAAAACCCTGCGCCAAAACACCCGCGGAGCCCCCTGAGATGGTACCCAGGGGGTGAGCAGATGGGCACCCCCCTGCACGGGGGCGTATGGGGACTCTGAGGATGAGTAAGGTGGGTGGCAGCACCTGGGCTTACCGGGGGTGGTAAGGGAGGAGACCACCTTGGGTGCCTGGTGGGAATGCTTATGTGTTCCCCTGCAACGGGGCGGTCCAGGGGCCCGTGCGCAGCGGGGTGGGCACCTCTGCTGCGGCAGTGCCCAGGGGGGTGCCAG